CAAGTGGTGTCCGTCAAGGCTGTCCACTTTCTCCATTTTTGTTTAACTTCATCATAGACCTATTGATGGAAATAACACTCTCGTCGACTGAATTCTCGGGTATTGATCTCCTTCCAGGAGGTCCACTTATCGACTTAGAATACGCAGATGACATAGTCCTGTTTGGTGAAGACGCTGAGAAAATGCAGAGTCTTCTGGTAGCACTAAGCAACAATGCCAGAATGTTTGGGATGCGCTTCTCTCCCTCTAAATGCAAGTTGTTGCTTCAGGACTGGTCTGCGTCAACACCTGAACTAAGGATAGGTAGTGAAGTAGTCGAACGCGTTGATAACTTCACTTATCTTGGAAGTCTGATCAGCCCTAATGGGTTGGTATCGGACGAAATCTCAGCACGGATTCGAAAAGCTCGCTTGGCTTTTGCCAACTTGCGTCACCTTTGGCGAAGGCGAGATATCCATCTATCAATAAAAGGACGAGTATACTGCGCGGCAGTTCGTTCTGTTTTAATTTACGGCAGCGAAACATGGCCCTTAAGAGTAGAAGACACCCGTAAGCTACTAGTATTTGACCACAGATGCCTTAGAAATATTGCTGACATCTGCTGGGATCACCGGGTAAGTAATAGTGAGGTTAGACGCAGGGTATTAGGGAATGATGGTAAATCAGTTGATGAGGTTATGAATCTTCATCGACTGAGATGGTTGGGCCACGTATTACGTATGCCTGAACACCGATTACCACGACGTGCAATGCTAACCGGGGTAGGGGATGGTTGGAAGAAAGTTAGGGGCGGCCAAACCAAAACGTGGCATCAGTGCCTGAAGTCACTAACTTCTAGTCTGAGCCACGTTGGTAGATGCAGACTACTTGGTTGGGGTCCGCGTGACTTTCGTAACCAATGGTTGGAGACTCTTGGTGACATGGCTCAGAATCGATCACAGTGGCGTCGGTGTATACACTCCCTGTCTTCCCTTAAACTAAGAGACTAAAATCACTTCATTCTTTCTGTATACGAACTAATTCTTTGTTCCTATACTATATCCTTATTGCAACCTTTGACCTAACCACTCCTATGAATCCGGTGTTCATCTTGCTGTGCTAATGAGGTATGGCAACCTGGACCGATGCACATATGTGCCTGGTCCTACGTTGTAGCTGACTGACTGACTGAGGGCAAACAATCCATTTAGCGTAGATCATTTGTTCAAATAAATCCACACATTTATGTTTGAACTTCACACCAGTAACAAACATACAAATGTTCCTAACCTTTCTTCTACATTACAAATATTGCAATTTTCTTTCCAACTAACAAATTCACACCTAGATCACCTACAAAATGAAAACGACTTGACTGAAGTGACAGTATGAACGTGATCCGACCTATTTTAATTTTGACCAAACTAAGAAAACATTCTCCATTATATTCTTTGTACTATTTAAAATTGTGTTAGTTTACTTTAAAATATTGAGATTTCCCATATTGTGGATTAGAACCACATATGTATAAACAAACCATGAGGACATACTTGTAAACAACTTGTTTATTTTTTTCTCTAAAGTGGCTCACACTAGGTCTCGAAACGTCAAAAATCTAATTTTCTTCTCATTAGGACAAATATACTTTTTCTATTATGTATTATGTGAGCCTAACCGTCCGGGTACCTCAATGACCAATCTTTGGTAACGCAGTAAAAGGTTAGAGAAAAGGTAGAAGCGGCCAAACCATAATATTAGTTCATGAAGTCGCTAGCTTTTGATCTAAGTCATACTGATGCAATACTCATTTGTACCTGGTTTACGTTAAAACTTACTAGCTGTTGTCACAAATGTACTGAAACAACAAGAAGTTTCATCGATTTTAAAATTATTGAAGATCCATAAATGATCGATCTCGTAATATATGTAACGGACTACATAACTATAAGTGTGTATTGTGATAAGCATTGTTTATTTACCGCAATTTAATGTAAATGGGTTCAGATCATTGAGTTACTGCAATTGCGTTATTTGAATCAGTTAACTCTCAGAATCTCCTTTGCTTGTATAACTGGTTTTGTAACTCAATTAATATAAATAGTCTTCACCCACATTCACAGTTGAAGCAAAGTTTACTAAACTCCATCTTCATATAATCCTCTAGATGTCACATTACCTGCAGCTTTCTTGAGAATCCATAAATCATCGAGTTTGTGTAGAAGCTATATTGACCAGCTATTGAATGTCAAGCTTGGTTGAAAATAGCTATACCCTCACTTGAATCTTCCCTTGAAAATGTAATATTCAGCCCTGAATTTTTTCACGTTCGGTTTCGAATTTGTGTATAATTATGTAGTTTCGTACTTGATTCGTAAATTTACTAGAATTCCAAGTAAAAGTTTATTGACCGTTCTCTGTTCCAATTATTTTTACGTAGTACCCTTTTCCGGCTTTTTTCTGAACTCTAGTACATGTTATAATATCGTAATATTTCATTTTACTATATTCATCTACACACTGGTTATACATTTTATTGTTTACAATCTTATATCTATAGCATTTAAATATGTTTTATAATACTCTTCTTCATTGTATAAATACTTCAAACATGTAGGACATTCGTGGTTTGAATAGCTAAATAAGTTATGATGCTGGTTGGTACGAGATCAAATACCGTGGTAATCATAGATTTCTCAACATCCCACTTTGAATTTCTGCAACAAACTTTATATATACATAGATAAGGTAAACTCATTGGGATATAACAAAAATATAATTATTTTTTGTGAACCATTGAGATCACGGACAAGGAGCTCAGTTGAAATACCATTTATTTAGGGAAAATGCATCTTACCAAACTTCCTATGGTGCTTCGTATTTATCTTTATATAGTAACGATGCGAGCAGACACAATCTGCGTATATGATAGTCTTGCTACATAAACTTTCAGGCAAATTATGTCGAGATCACCACTACATACATACAAAGATTCTTATGCTAGACCTGTTTCTCTTCCTTAATCATAATTTAAGATCAGGGTTGTAATATTCATTGTAGTTGGTTGTAAACTTATTGACGACACCAGTCATATAATTGTTTCCTTGTCACTGAATGCGATAAGGCATTGTTTGTTCATTGAGCATATCCATTTTCTTAACTATTTCTAGAGAAATAACCACCGGAATTTCCTCGTCAAACCTTTTATGGCTAATCATGTATGATTAAATATCTGATGTTTGCACACCTGATATCTACCATGAAACGAAGTCGTTAAACAGACCTCTCAGTAAATCCGGACGAGTTCTGTTATATAACCGGGAGAACCTCGTTGGACTATATTCTGATGCTAAATCAATCAGTACCAGCCGTCTAATCGCAGTTTCAGTATGATTCTTTGATTTCTAGATGTATATTGAGTTGCATGTTTCCCAAATATTAATAATTCTTAATGAACGCCTGGGCCCCTTATATACCATGGCTCAATGGATAGAAGTCTCTTCGAGGCTTCTGGAACGATGACAGACCACGACTTTTTTCGACAGAGTATTTACTTTTCTACTAATATAGCTACTGTGCTTCTAGAATTTTCTGGACAAGGTTATGCCAAGTGACATAAATGCACACGATTTCCTGTACATACCTGGAATATGAGTAAAGCATTTTCCTACTTCGCGTCTTTTCTCTTGTATTGTCACTTAGATTTATTCTGAAATCAATAAAGGCGGCTAGGGAATCGGATCAATTGGTAGACTTATCAGATTTATTTTTAGAGTTTTTGTCGTCTTTCCAGACAACGTTACGTATTTAAGGTAGAAGCTGTTGCAAGTTTCAACATTTGAATTTGCGTTTGTTCATGAGTTTAATACTATGTAGACAGTTGGTTTTCTAATAACAGTCAGCACCTAGATCCTTCTCAGTGGTAGGCCTGTCAAAGTTTCTCTTCGCAAACTACGGTGGAGGTTGTACATATTTGTAAATTGTTGCTAGTGCAGTTAATAAGTTAGCCTTTATGAACCGCTTACCAGCACAATAATTGAGTCTTCAGTTCATGATTTTGTTGATGAACACATACATAAATTTTGGATTTTTTCTTCGTTTTACAGTGTGGAGTTTATGTAATTGAATATATTCCCAGTTATCCCGTATTAGCTACGATACTAGAAATCGATGTTCTCTTCTCTGTATTTTATTAGTAAATTAAAAATATTTCTTCAGTCAGCGAGTTCTTTTAAACAAATTTTATGTCTGTTGAAACATTTGTTTTGCTGGATAAACGTGAAGTAGTTGAGTGGGTCGACCGCTTCACTTATCTTGGAAGTCTCATCAGCCCTTGTGGTTTGGTGTGTGACGAAATCTCAGGACGGATACAGAAGGCTCGACTAACTTTTGCCAACTTGCGTCATTTATGGCGTAGGCGAGATATCCGTCTATCAACCAAAGGACGTGTTTACTGTGCAGCAGTTCGTTCCGTCCTACTTTATGGCAGTGAAACATGGCCGGTAAGAGTAGAGGATATCCGTAGGTTACTAGTATTCGATCATAGGTGTCTTCGAAACATTGCTCGTATATCATGGGACCATCGAGTAAGTAACACAGTTGTTAGGAAACGGGTACTAGGTAAGGATGGCAAGTCGATTGATGAAGTAGTGAAACTTGATCAGTTGAGATGGCTGGGACATATGTTACGTATTCCAACCACCGACTGCCCCGACGTGCGATGTTCAGTGGTATAGGAGTAGGTTGGAAGAAAGCTAGGGGCGGCCAAACCAAAACATAGCACAAGTCCATGAAGTCACTGACAAGTGAACTGAGTCATGTTGGTAGGTGTAGACTACCTGGTTGGGGACTGCAAGATGATAGCAACCGATGGTTAGAGACCTTGAATGACATGGCTCAAAATGGTTTGCAATGGCGCAGGTGCATCCACTCTCTGTGTTCTCCCAAATTCTAATCTTCTGAATTCTTCCCGATTACTGCTTATACTCTTATTACCTCTACCACTACGGGATTTGAATCGACCACTGCATCTCTGTGCTAATGTGGTGTGGCAACTCGAACGTACGTACGTACGAAGTTCTACGCTGTTACTGACTGGATAAACGCAAGGATATTTCATCGTTCCCCACATTTGATTTACTAAAGGTGGAAACGTACTCATTAGTGATATGAATGTCCTATTTGTTATCTGCGAAATCTGTGGGAGGTAAGGTCAAGTGATTGCCTGGATCCACGAAGGTACAGTCAGTGCGATGATTGGCCGCATTTAAATGTCCATTTTGTGCATTTTTGACCAAACACAATCAACGTTTAGTCAATTGAATTTTTCTAGTGTTGGTTTCCCGTTGGTACTCAAGCTGTTTAGATGAGCTTGCTAAAAGACATTCAAGTTTTTGAGTAGATGAGTCCATCTGCTAGGATTTGTTTTATTGTTCATAATGCGAGCCTAGAAATCTTCCTGTGAAATTTGTCATTTAGTTTGTTGAAATAAGTGTTAATCAGATTTTCTTTAGCAAATCTGCAGTATGTTCGAAGCTCCATAGATGTTTTCTGAATGAATATGTACGATAACCAAGAGGTTGTTGATATATACCATGGAAAACTGTAAAGAACGTATTATTTCTCAACATGAAAGTCACATTGTTCATATTATCAATTTAAATATTGTTCAGACTAATTACATCGTAATTTATAAATTTTTCATTCAGTCTCATCAACGAGAAATATTTCGATATAAACGCGTCATCATATTTACCCATTGTTTGTCTCAGTGGTATGGATCTAAGTAATACAGATTAAAAGTGCGCTGCTATTTAGTAGTTGGTGAGTAAACGACTTCCTACCAGCTTGCTTGAAATTACGGCTGTGACTTTAAAACTGATAAACATCTCATAAGTAATCTGATAAACTGTTAAGTGGATTTTATAGATAAGATATTTTTGCTATTGAAGGCGGCTAAGCCTGTTTATCTGCACCTTTTTACTTGCAAGTACAACTAATCCCAGTAGTTGGAAATAATATCATCTATAGTAACTAACTGCCAATGGAACACTAGGTTAGGGGGTTCGTCAACAAATTAAGGAGCACTATATTTATTCTGACATACTTTATTGATTTTCATTTTTAAAAAAAACTCGAATTGATGAACAACTGTTTTGTCATACATGCAAACTAATATTTCTATTATATAAAAATTTTCATTGCCAATCTATTGATGGCATCAAGCCTGTTGTTTTAATTCTTTGACTTCATTTTTTCGCCAGCAGACGGAAGTGATTGTTGTGTGTTGAAATCGATGAATGTTAATGGTTCTTGCAAATTGTTAAACTTTCCGTTTTATGATTTCCTAACGAATTTTCGTAAAGCAATTAAAAAAATAAGAAGATCGTTGTTTATTTTAAAGAAAGTGAATTTCCTTAAGATTTTGTGTTTGTATCTAAATACGCTTACATTCATTGAAGCCACAGTGAGCAGCGATGACAAGAATATCATACCAGAAAAACGGCGTAGACCAGCAGAAATATGGTGCATTATAAATAGAATCGGATGATCAGGTCATTCTGAATAATTGTGAAAGATGAAATGGTGTATAAACTTATTCCTTCCGTGCAGCTTGTTCTTAGATCGTATATTAAGGCCATTTCTTCGGTATCTCCCAGCATATGTTAACTAAAGAAAAGTCTATGTGTTACATATAAAATAAATGAGCAAATTATCTTGAGTACATATTTCTATTTCCCCCCAGTATAGCAATCTGGAAGGGATGGGACTAATTTTTCTGTGTGCTGGATATACGGTCAGATAAACTCCGATTTGAAAAATCTTAGTTTGACAGCAAAAACAAATTTTAAATGTTGCAATTTTATTTCTACTGATTCAACTTACACTGATAACTGGATAGTTTTCTCTGACAGTTGATTATTTGGATCGACGGTTAATGAATCTTGCCGTTCTGAAGTTATTATCAGTTCATCACACGGAATGCATAACTAGAAATGAAAATCAGTATAAATGATTATTTTCTTTATAGCAACGAACAAAACGTAACACCAAGGATTGGTTGTTTTCTGTACAGTTTTTTTTTCCAACTAGTTTTCGGCAACATTACACAGGCATTTGAATCATTTAATAACCCAGTTGAATGTAATCGACTAACCTGTGAATAACTGATATACGATTCCTTAGAACATTGCGTAATGTAGTGCAGCTTTATAAAAGCTAATCTACTGGACATATTTTGAAAAGTCTTTTAATGCGAGCTGCTATCTGATAAAGTCATAGACAGGATTAAAAACCGATTAATGCAAATGAGAACACGACATATAAGCAGATAATAGTGCTTTCAATCTTCACCAATCTTTCGTCTAATATACAGTAATGTTTACATAAATATGTAGATAATGTTAGACCAATTAAGGCAAATTGTGAGATAATGGTAACAATACGGTAGGTTGCGTAAGTAATCATATCAACTAATGTGTACATATTGATAGTAATAGTAAATATAAGAATTACAAGATGGATGATAACAGACAAATATTTCAGCTTAAAAATCAGGCTTAAACCTGGAGAAATAGATTTACCAAAATGACCGTGAAAAAGATCGCGTAGTAAAACGTGTGCTCTCTAATGATCATTTTCAATGCACAAGTAGTAGCGATATTTTTTTTAAAGTAGAGAAGCGCAAATAGAAGGATTTGTTGGCAGGATTATTATTTTTTGTTAACCAAGGAAGGTACGACGACATTCTATTAACATGCAAATATACGAGGGCCTTTATAGGCATCTACACAATACAGGTATTGTGCACATAGGTCTTTTGTCAACCGTACACAGAAACAACTGAACCTGTATAGCGGATTTCGAAAGATTATCTATGACTGGATGGGGGGGTTTAAAGGAAAGATCCTCAGGAGTCATATATATGAATTTCGTTATAAAATATACTGCGAATTCAAATTACGAAACCGAAATAATAACCTGGGCAATTTCATTGTCTAAGGAGAAACAGAAATATTTTTTATTTTCAATTATTAATGTACTATAATTCATTCACTCATTGGTCTTTTGATTGGCTACAAACTGTAAAAAGCCGCTGTGTATTATTTAAACAGTAGCTTAAGTACCTTTGGCAATCTTTCCATGGCCGTAAGTGACTTTTTAAGAAAACTCATGTTTTCCATGTTGTTGAAGACATATTACGGTCGATCAATTGATGTCTACGCAAAATATCACCATGATTGTATCGACAACACTGGAGTCACTTATGTACTCATCAGTCATCTGTATAGATGTTAGTTCGTCATGCAACGTAATTCTGAATTATAAGAAAAAGTGCTAATGTATTGTGACTAGGAACGGTTTCAAAATACTCTTTTTGAATATACTCATTTTATATATCGAAAATTGGCTTTTTGTGGTCGCGGTTCCCCTGCTGATTTTTTTACGGTACTCTATTTTCTGAACATATTTCAACCCTTCCTATACCAACAAAAGATATTGGTAACTTAATCAATATTTTAGAGCAGACTTCTCTACACTGGTAAAATCAGTATACTTCCATACTTTAGAACATTACACGTAAAAAAAATTTGTTCAGTCTCAACTAAGAATGGAAAATAGTGTGTTACTGATTAATGTGTTTGTTCTAACATCAATTAAGCTGAAGCAGCATTAGTTCATGCCGTGTTTTTCAGCAAACATTGTGTAGTTCGAAAGCGCAGATGTTTTTCGACGATTCAATGGGTTGTAAATAGCATACAATTGTTCTCTTATTTAAATGAAATATGAATCGAACTTTAGTGACTAATCCCCTTGAATTTATGTGCCTTGAAATTTGAACCAACGACCTTAATCGCGATTTCATTGCCATGATCTTGAGTGTTGCTTCACATTTGATCTCTTTAATATTCTCAATGACGCTATATTTTTAACTTATTCAGTCTTACATGGAGTCAATTAACAAATAAACAAACACCACTAGTCAGTAAGATCCATATCCAGTCGTTTGAACATACATTCATAAAAAAGCAACTAATTTGAATTATGTCAGTATGATTTCGTGAAATTACTTTTTAAATAATCGATAAAATCTCTCGTTATACGAAGCAAAAAAGCGCACCACCATAACGTAAGACAAAGAAGATTTATATATATTTCAAAATGTTATAAAGCGATGTTAATTAATAAAACAAGCAATAATAATTCAAAACGGAATCTCATAACCTACTTCAATCTTTCCCGATGGATGAAACGTAATGTAATAAACGATCATCATTACTATGCCCATACAAAAACTGCATATCACAATAATAAGAAGAGTGTATGGAGGTAAGACGGTGTTCCACGTGGATGGTTGATTTTTGAACACACTTTTTGGAAGACTTGCATTAATAAATGAATGTGTTACCCACCATAATGACGCACATACCGAGTTTTCAATGCCAAATATTAAGTAACATGATCCATACCACATTCGACTTCGTCCTTCACGAATATTGACCACATCAAAACAATAAACTGCACCTAATACAAAATCAAAGGTTAGTTCTCCTAACGCTCGTGAATTAGATGAACAAAACGTCGTCCCGCGAGTGATTAACCAACCAGAAGCCAACAACCAATGAATACCGAGCGCTACTACAAACCAAAATCCCTTGACAACAGAGGCAAGTATACCTAGAGCCAGTAATCGTGATGCTAGCACTCCAGCCTTCCAGAAAAAGAAGAATATAATACCTAAGGTCTGGATATTTCCTTTTTCAATACGTGAACTACGTAGAGCAGTTTGGTAGTAGGTTAACGACCACGCCAATGAAAGCCATGAAAACACACATGAAACAAATTGTGCAGTCACTAAATGTCAAAACGTGGGGGAAAAGATAAATTAAAGTTCAAAAACAATAAAGAAGACTTTGATAAAAACAAATAGTTATAGAGGATAGTTGATAAAAGACATTACGAAAAGTTTTTAAGTCAATCCGTAACCTTACTTAACTGTTCACGCGTTGCCGACAAATAGTAGCTTTCTAGTTCCTTTTAAAAAAGTAGTTGGTCAAACATTCTTACCAGTAAAATCCACAGCCACATAATTCTTCTCACGGCGGTTCAGAAAAATAGTGGTCTTTTAGTGAAGGCTTATCAAAAATTTAAATAACATACATTCTTTCATAGACGAATGGCAAAATTTGCTAATGTATTAAAGGAACAAATGAGTGTTCAACAACGATAACTACTAACGGATTCTCAATTACAATCTCGAATGTTAGAAAACTGAACAAATAACAAACAAACTAAACGAAAATGAAAATTGGTCGGAAAAGTTGTAAAAAACCACTTGAGGTTCCTTAAGAGTAATAGGTGAAACTGTTTCATTGCAAACGGTAACCAATTCATTGGGCTTTTTAACAATTACTATACTATCACATACAAACAGATATATCAAAGAAAAACTTCGTATTAAAAAATAACTATTCTTAAGTCGTGCCAACCCGCAAAAAACAGAAAGAAAAAATTATCAGCAATGTAGAAAACATCGAAACGACGGTCTGAAACTGTTAAATAAATAAATTACAATTTTAAAGATTTCCAATATTCATTAGATAAAGGTGATTACATTTTACTAATTTTTATTCGTCACGAAAGTTGTATACCCAGTATGCATCAAATCATAATTTATTCAACATTTATGTACTTACCACATTCACCTAAGTTGAATCATTTACCAAGTAAAAATTTGTGTACTCAACTTTGGGCTACACTTTATGTATGAAGGTTAATGATTCTATCTGGCTGCCTAAAGTAAGTGGAGCGAGGGTCGAAAGAGCGACCAAGTGCTTGGAATTTGAATGTCAACCAATAAGTCACCTCTTCATATTGCAGTGAAGGAGAACACAGGTGAGGACAACCGAATTTATTTGAACACGAAATCGCAGAATATCTCACTAAAATCTGAGAACCATACAGGAAATCTTTATTTTCAAAATATCAATCCATTGTCTCAAACTCGACTGTTTCTTTTGCAAATATCACTCCGTAGTCTCAGATTTCGTTGTTTTTGCATTTTCATACCAATTGCTTTCCGTTCTCGTTCTTTCCTTCTCGATCTACTGAAATACATTCTATTCCCGCCCATTGTTATATACTACTTATGTGTATATAAGTAGCGCACACCACAATATGACAATGACGTCGATCCCTTGTCTGTTTCGCAACAGCCAAACAGTATCGTTTAGATACCTACGGATGAATGCTTACAATTTACGCATATTTCCTACTTCTAATGGCTAAGACTAATCCAGAAATTGTTCCAAATAAAAATCAAGGAAATACGATACGGTAAACATTATAAACAAATGCAAGAAACGTACTTGGAAGTTTATAGAACGTAATTCAAACATGATAAAAGAAACGAGTGTTGATAATTTTTGAGTCTATGAAAATGGGTTTAACGAAACTTTCAAGTCGAAATGGAATTTGAAGTAGTTTAACCCGACTTAAAAAATTCACATAACTACTGATGAAAGACTATTCTCTCGAAGCATAAAGAACACTCTATTATCGAATAATACAATTATTCATTGAACTATGAAACGATTTAAGTTAGACCAACATGGGAAACCTGGAAGCAGTGGACGGCCATCACGTCCAAGTGTGTCTGTTCTTCTTTGCAATAGTCACAAATAATATAAGAAATATGGTCTAATGGCAACCGTTAAACTGCAAATTAAAACACATTAGTCTTAAACATAAATTCCCATAATGATTTATTGTCACCTTTATAATTATTACACATAGCGATATAGCAAATGATATAATGAGTAAAATCAAGTGTTTATAAAATATGAATTATGACTGAAAGGCAACATATTCTACATAGTTTTTTATAAGCAACTAACAGGGTCATGACACAGAAATTTACGAAATATCAATAATATTGGGTTGCGGAGATTGTTGAGTTTAAATTGATATCATGAATGGATGGTTGCTAGACCACCACCAGAAACATGGAAGCATTAGACGGCCATTTCGTCCTAGTATGAGACTCCTCAACAGTGCGAATCTACGACTCCGCACGAGAAACTCGAACCAAGGACTTCGGGTCTCGCGGGCGAACGCATAACCTCTAGACCACTTAGCCGGCAATCCAACGGTGTTCATGTCTAAATTCAACCAATACACGATATTGCGCGACCGTCCACCACTGTCTTCAGTGAGTAACTGTGTGAATGGAGGTCCTGGGTTAGAATCTCACATGCAGGATCGTGGATGCGCACTGTTTAGGAGTCCCATACTAGGACGAAACGGCCGTCCAGTGGTTCCAGGTTTTCGACGGTGATCTAACATTCATTCATTCATGATATCAATTTAAAATATTATTAGCTTCATTATTCTAGGACAGAAACATACTTTGAAATTTAGGTGCAGGATATGGTTGCGTTAAAATAATGTACAACTGTAACAGAAGTTGTGGAGCGGATTCAGTGAAACATTCAATCAAACGAAGCATAGCACAATCAGCATCTTCATAAAGCATCAACTGCGTATATTGTGCAGCTACACGAAGACTTAACCCGGGTTGTCGACTTGCTATACCGTAGTAGATAGCATCAGCTGCCCTAGAAGTGAAAAAACAAGCATAAAAAGTGGAGATAATCACTGTAATACCTTAAGTTAGTCGTATATTGAACTCAACATCAATCTACTTGTTGCTAAACACAGCCCAAGACTCCTCCACCAACAATGATAATATGAACAAAGTCTACAAAAGATGAAAAAATATACAAGCCCTGGCAACAATATCATAACAACCAAAATGATCACACATGAGGGTAACAAACTAAACAATGTACTATTAACGAACAAATTTGGAGAAATCACAACATTATGTCAGACCACTGGCTAGATGCAAATGTGATTAGTATAAACAGAAATAAAGGACCAAAGACCTATACCAATAACTACCGTAGCATCTCATTGGATACAATAGAAAAGCTATTTGCTGGTATTGTTTGCAACAGGCCATCTCAATTAACGGATAACCGGCTTCCACTTACCGAATCCGGCTTTAGAAGACACTTAGCTACCAAGCATGAAACAAAGATAATTAGACACATCATACAACGTACCCTAAACACAAATCAAGTGCTAGTACTCACCTTTATCAAACTAAATAAAGAATTTGATACTCTACCTAAATAACAAATCATCGACACAATAGTAAAAACACCTAACAAATAAATTGACATGTATGATCAAACTATTCGACAAAGGACACATTAAAGGCACTTATACTTCAAAAGGCAACGAGGAGTTAGGCGAGGCAATAAATAGATTCAAACTCTCTTTAGACTATTCTTCATACAGATAATAATTACGACACAGATCAAGCTATACAAAGATAATGCAGTGTACAATCAGTCAGTCAGTAACAACGTAGAACTTCGTACGTACGTACATCAGTTCGAGTTGCCACACCACATTAGCAGTGTACAATAATTTTAAGAACCATACGATTTTGAATGAACGTTTGTGCATGAAATGCTATGCTCCATGGGTGCACAAGTTGATGGTGATTTTCTTAGAGAGCCACTTCTCGAACCTCTGACCAAGATGTTTAATCTACAATGAAGTTGAAAAACGTTAGATGCCATCTCGTAGCAGTCGATGATCCTATTCAGTTCTCTTAGGATTCTGGATTTCATCAATCCGCATCATAAGTAGTACTTGAAATAGCGTGTAAAATCGAGCAGTGGATATTAAGCTGTTGCGTCACAGTCTCCAACAATCGCATTTGTGCATCAAGTTGTGTTTGCTGTTGTTATAGTATTCAGTTGAGCTGGTCATCTGATATTTGCATCTTGAGAGTACTTTCCTTTTCCTCGTCGCCACTTATAATTTCTCTTATTACAAACACAGCTACTCCTATTGTTAAGTACTCTTGGACACTACTTCACTCTACAAGTCCCAAAATCAGAACACAGTGAAACAGAAACGTAACTATATTCCAAATAAAATGGTTGGATTGAAGTAGGAGTCATAATAAGAGAAACGTTGGGATATCTATAGTTTTTACATCAGAAGATTCTAGAGTTTTCTCTAAGTATCCACTAGCGATGATTAGATAAAAAATAGCCCATCAGGGTGCCATAACATAATCCTGCACGGAACGTATTTTAATCCAATCTATATACCGCTAACACATTGATTTTAAATCAAGATTTTACAACTTCCCTAAGTGAACCATCTGTACCTACCAAGCTGGTTGGAGCACCAGATGTTCACTTTTCATCCCCTCACTTTCACACACGACACTCCCACCACAGGAAAGCAGTGAGTACGCCTTCTATGACAGGGGCTTTGGACGCATGGTTATATAAGAATACTTCGAGAGGAAGAGAGAAATTTTCGTATCAGTGCATTTGGAAGTAGCTAAAAGTAGTGTAAACTAAACCGAAATGACAAATATTTTGACAAAACAAATACCACCAGAAACTATCTATATCATAGCAGAACTAACAAAAAACCACTAAACAAACTAGCATCGATTTGTCCAGTGTCTCTAAGAATCACTAGTCACCTAATAACTTTCGGTGCCTAACCAAAAAAATAACAGTTCCTGAAAACCTATTAATTTGTGGTCAATTTGTCACTCACTGACACTAGATATGGAACCAATACAAATCAGGAAGAGTTGAAATTCGTTTTATGCTAGTCTGAGAAACGGCGAAACTGTACGGGCTTGAACTTAAGAAGTTCAGCTCTCGTGGGAAACTAATATATGAAACACTGAAATATAACTTAATGGCTAAATTACACCGTTTTTGATGAGACCAAAAGATCATTGATTACATACTAAATGAATTCTAAAATAGGAAGTAATAGTTAGGCTATATTCCTTGATATTCAAAAGTCATTTAACTTATTTCAGTTTGTGGTAAAACCATCTTCACGTTGAGCAAATTTCCATGATAAAAGTTCTTTAACTATTACGAGAAAGTATACGGAAGATAATAAAGTAATGACAAGAATAAAAATAATAAAAACCGTAATCTAAATGACAACACAACCACAGTACGTTAAATTTTTGGTATAGTAAATCTTACACATCATATGATAAGTAAATATAAAACTGAACCAGAATTGACATTTACTTAGATTTTGAGTTACGACTGATAGTTATAGCAGCTCGCTTGCTAGGTCTAAGACAAGAAAGAGCCAACCATCACAATTACTAACTTAGAACGACCACATCATAAACTGACGACAAAAAATAAAGTACTTCCAATACAAACAACTCTAAACTGACATTACTGAATCTCCGGTTCGGAGAATAAATAACCTGAATACAGTGAATAAACCATAGCATATTTACTCCAATTCTTTAACATTAAAAAGTCAGTCTCTGATGGACTCAATCGCTTTATCAAATGAAATACAAACAAGGAAAGTACGGCTCAAAGTAAACGAACCTCACTAGTGGGGCCAACTGGAGTCCATGAAACAACAGTCTAAACGTCCATGCTCGATAGCTGCGCGGAGGATCAACTCGAACTTTATAGTCAATGAAATACCACGCAAGACTGAAACTGGACATCAAGAGAGCGGGAACAACCATGAAAATCATTGTTAAACTAGACCAGTAGTAATCTTCCTATATTGATAAATAAAAAACAAAAATTAGATCGAACGTGTATAGAAAATATCTTGTAAATAAATTTCTGAACAAAAGGTTATTTTATATGAATAACTCAGATGCTGACAAAGGCGCTTCATTATTTAGAAGTTAAAGAAACACTACCAAACGCTATAAATATGAGTACTATATCTGGTAAACTACTAGTACATTTATGTTCATCAAAAATCTATATCCAGACTTTCTCTGATAAGTTTAAAAATACTATTGAATTCGCGTTCAATCATCGAAATAGAATCAATAAAATTGACAACTGACGTCTGTGAAAGCAATGTCCACAAACCAACCTGTAATTCGTTTGTTTGTAACTGAAACATCATATATCTCGTTAATCCAAGGAAAAAGCACAACTTATCTCTCCAAAGAAATGTTGATACGTATCAAAGTTTAAAAAGGACCCTTTGTTAGCATGAATCACTATAATTAGCACACATAATTCCCTTTCGATTGAAAAACCACATTGAACTCAGAGTCCCCTAGTGGAAATATTTTAACTCTAATATGGCTCAGAAATCAACCTGGTCGTGTAAAAATGTCTTAAATAAGAAGCAACACTTCAAATGACCTGTAAACGCTGGTACTGAAAATAAGGCTTATCTACGTCAGGTTTATATGGACTGTCAAAAAAGACCTTCCCGTGGTTAGAATTGCTATTTAGTAGAAAAAATAAGTGGTTGACTAACTAAAGTTGTAGCGAACAATCACCGTTAACCGTTCGCAAGGCCAGAATATACAAAGCTTTCAAGCGTCTTCGTGTTTATATCAATTTGGTTATGCGAGGATTGAAGTTAATCACCCAGATTATTTGCCACTTTAGAGCATTCGGATTTATAGGAAACACTAAGACGTTTTTGGCCAAATGTATCATTCAGTTATTCTCAACTGTATCCACTGAGTCTTCAAACAGGTTATTTTCTTTACTCTAATTTTCCAAGTTCCTACGATATTTTTAATCACACCGTCGACTTCCGAACGCTTACCATTGTCGAGTAATAGAAAAAAATTACTTCGCATAACATTTATGAATATATATAAATCAAGATAAAATTTTATGCAATATCTATTCTCTGGTTACTGATATATTTAAGATAAACTCGCTAGTTTGAACCTAGCAATCAATTAATACTGAAAAGTCAGCGTGTGGAGATGAAGTCATCAGTAACAGGTTCAACAGGCAAAACAAAACTGGATAATAATCCCAAATGACTCACAAACTGTTTAACCTACGAGATTATTATTTTCCTTTAACTTACATACGCCTGTTACTCCTCAGGAAGGAACATAGGCCACCCACCAGCACTCTCCATCTAACCACGTCCTGGATAATCCTTTCCAGTTGCCGTTCATCCTTTTCATGTCCACTTCCGGTTACCGATGCAGTGTGTTCTTCGGCCTTTCACTTCTCCGTTTCCCTTCAGGATTCCAAGTTAGGGCTTGCCTTGTGATGCAGTTTGGTGATTTCCACAATGTATATCCTGTCCACTTCCAACGTCTTTTCCTTATCTCCTCTTCAGCTGGAAGCTGGTTTCTTCTCTCACATAGTAGGCTGTTGCTGATGGTATCCGGCCAACGGACATTCAGTATCTTACGTAGACAATTGTTTATAAATACTTCTACCTTTTTGATGATGGTTGTGGTAGTTCTCCAAGTTTCAGCTCCATACAGTAGAACTGTCTTGACGTTCGTATTGAAGATTCTGACTTTGATATTAGTTGACAGTTGTCTTGAGTTCCATATGTACTTCAGTTGTAGGAATGAGGACCTTGCTTTGCCAATCCTCGCCTTTACTTCTGCATCAGATCCTCCTCGTCCGTGAAAGAATCCACATCTTCCGTAGCTTCTCCATCAAGTGTGATTGGGTTGGTGCTCTTCGTATTGTATTTGAGGATCTTGCTTTTTCCTTTGTGTATGTTGAGGCCTACGGATGCACAGGCTGCTGCTACACTAGTTGGCTTCATCTGCATTTGCTCGTGTGTATGGGATAGAAGGGCCAGGTTATCTGCGAAGTCCGAATCTTCTAATTGGTTCTGAGCTGTCCATTGTATGCCGTGTTTTCCCTCAGATGTCGAGGTTTTCATAACCCAGTCGACCATCAAAAGGAAGAGAAACGGAAAAAGTAATCAGCCTTATCTGACTTCGGTCCTCGCTTGGAATGAATCTGTTAGCTGTCCTCCATGCAGCATTTTGTACTGTAGTCGGTCGCATAAACTCCGTATGATATTGACGATTTTCTCAGGTATACCATAGTGTTGAAGTTTCCATAAGGTTCTCCTGTCCACACTGTCAAACGTCTTCTCATAGTCAGTGAAGTTGATGTATAATGACGAGTTCCACTCAACAGATTGTTCGACGATGATTCGTAGCGTGGCAATGTGGTCTGTGCACAACCGATCCTTACGGAATCCAGCCTGTTGATCTCGATGTTGGGCGTCTATTGAGTCTTTTATCCGTTTTAGCAACACTCTGTTAGACTTTCCCTGGTACTGACAGCAGTGTGGTGCCTCTGTAGTTCTCACATTTGCTCAGATCTCCTTTCTTTGGAATCTTGATGAGGTGTCCTTGTTCCCAGTCCATCGGAACTTGTTCTTCCTCCCAAATCTTCCTGAATAGAACGTGGAGCATGTTTGAAGTTACTCCAATATCTGACTTCAGCTAATATATTGTCAGGTCCTGTGGCTTTCTCGCTCTAGGTTTGTCTGATGGCCATCTTGATTTCTCCGGTTGGTGCAGTGACATCTATATGAAGGTCCGTGTGTGCTGCTTCGATGTCCGGTAGATTCAATGAAGCTGGTCTATTCAACAGCTTCTTGGAGTATTCCACCCGTCTGTTCCTCTGTTCTTGAATCTCGGTGATTGTCTTGCCTCTTTTGTCCTTGACCGGTCTCTCTGGCTTATCATATTTCCCTGTTAGTTTCTTCGTTGTGTCATATAGCTGTCTCATATTTCCTTCTCTAGCAGATTTTCTCGCTATCATTGCTAGTTCTTCCACGTATTTCTGCTTGGCAGCTTTAATGCTCTGCTTCACTTGCTTGTTTGCTTCCGTGTACTCAGCTTGTGCTTTGACTTTCTCTGCTCGTGTTCGGTTGTTGTTGACTGCTGTCTCCTTGTTCTTTCTTTCTTTGATCTTGTCCAGTGTTTCTATAGAGATCAATTCCTTATGATGATGCTTGTTGCGGCCCATCACCTCCTGACACGTTGATGTTGTCCTCCATAGTAGTTCCATGTTCTTTCAGTAGAACCTGTTGTTGAGAGTTATCTCGAATTCTTTCAGTTTGTTAGTATCTAGAAGGAAGGTTGTATTGGACCTTTGTAATACTGGTTCCCCAGCTGTTCAGTGTTTCTTTAGCTTCAATTTTATACCGGACATAACCAGGTGATGATCTGAAGTCATGTCAGTTCCTCTCCTAGTTTTCACGCCTTCCATTGTCCTTCTGAATTTTTTATTGATACAAATATGATCTATCTAGTTCGCTGTGGTGTGATCCTGTGAGACCCATGTAGCTTTACGTATGCGTTTGTGTAGTAATAATGTACCACCTATAACCAAGTTGTTGAATGGACATAGGTTTGCAAATCTCTCGCCATTTTCTTTTCTCTCTCCCAGTCCATGTCGTCGCTTGATATCTTCATATCCGGTGTTATCCATTCCGACCTTGGTGTTTAGGTCTCTCATCAGGATATTCGGTTCTTTTCTTAAGTACTTCGTTATGGTTGATTGCAGCCTCTCATAGAACGGATCTTTATTGTTGTCGTTACTATTATTGGTGGGTGCATATCACTAAATAACATTCATCGTAATGACCTCTCTCTTTGTTTTGCATGATGCTTTGGTGATTCTGGATCCGTGAGATTCCCATCCTATACACACACTACGTACTTCTTTGAACAGCATCAGACTAATTCCCTGCGCGTATGAAGTACATCAGCCTCTCTCTCGTATCTAGCCTTTGCTGTCCAGCTTGAGTTCAATAGGCTTCGCTGATTTCCAGCAATGCCAATTTGTATATCCTCACTTCCGTTGTTATCTGGCTGGTCCTCACATTATCCGGACGTTCCATGTACCTGTGAAAAATGTTGCTCTGGTTGTTAGAAAAGGTATCGGCCTCATGAATTCAGAATAATCTCGGCTTTCATTCTGAGGCATCATAATTCTCCCTTCAATTCCTAGAGAAGACTTTCAAAGGTTTAATTTTTTTAATCTGGTTGACGTTTTTTGGAAGGATTTTTTTCTACGGGATGGGGCTGCCAACCCCATGCCCAACCGTCTTACTTTACCTGGGCATGGGACCGTCAGTAACTCTAGAAGAGCCACAGGCGTAATTTTTCTTTACGCTGATCTAAATAACACTGTATTTCTAGTAAGCAATATTTTCAACTAATTTCGACTACGCGATTCTACTACTAGACAGCAGATTGGTGATCCATATATGAGGTGAAATTTCCTCAAGTTAACGCCACTAGACTATTGTCCACCATAGTAAGAAGGGCAATCTGCTACAACGTAAGACCAAACACATATGTGCATCGGTCCAAGTTGCCATACCTCATTAGCACAACAAGATGAACATCGGATTTATAGAAGTGGTTAATTCGGTGGTGGTAATATATAAAAGAAAGACACTTCCAACAGTAAGAAAGTATAGAAAATAGTTTAATTGCTTGTCAGAAGAAAAGGTGTAAATATGAGATGCAAACGCTTTTATGAAAGTGAATCACGTGACTAAAATGACATCATACTAACCTGAATATAATACGTATAAACCAAGTATGCATCGGATGCAATGTCTGCGAGGTAACTGATTATAGAAATGAGAAATATCACAACTTGATACCACCGAAATCCATGAACTTTAAGAAACTCAACTAGTCTTATTTCATCCTCAGGCTGAACAACAGTAGACAATGGAGGAGCACTTGAGTGTGGAGTAACAAAGGAACTGGATGGTTCATCGAAAGAATTTTGTTTCGAAATCGAAGCATCTGTAATATCACAAACAGTAAGTGATTCTACTTTGCTCTTATTCCCCATGAGATTACTGCTGGAATGTAATGTAAATGATGAGTTTTAGTTGATACACTGAATTAAGAAGGTCGGTATCTAAACACGGAAGTAAAATATCAATGAAAGGAGATATTCCAAAAACCCGTAGTAAAATTTATACTCCTGACACATATCAGTATCACCTTCCTATTTTGGTTACATCTCTAATAATGGTTAGTGACGTTATAAGGATACCACATAGTTGAAATAAACGTATGATTTAAACAGTGCAATTGTAGTATTCAAATGTGTCGTCAGTCCACGGAATCATTGACAGCTAATCTGAACTATGTAGGTAGCTGCATACAACCTGGTTTGGGTGCGTTTCGTGCGATTATCGCAACTAATAGTTAGAGACTGGGTTAAATGGCTCGTAATTGTTCACAATGGCGTTAGTACATTTACCATCCGTTTTCGTTTAGATCCTAAATTACCTAATTGTCTTTAAAAAAAATTTTCAATTATATGAATCCCTATTTTATCGAGTCATTTCTCTGATCCCCTTTTCTGTTATCACTAATACTGCTACTACTTATACTACTCTGGAATACCCTGTATTTACGTAATGTAGCGAAACATGCACGTCTGTGTCAGGTCTTACGTTACATGTGACTGGCTAACTGTACAGTTGTAGTGATGTGCAAAAGTGCTTTAACGTTTCACTTACTTTTCCGTCGATATGGTACAAAATATTTCTAGAGTATCATTCAGTATTATCTGTGATTCAAGTTTGTGATGTAAATTGCTTTGTGGATTAAGCTGAAAGTGCATCTTTCACTACTCATACGACCAAATACAAAATTCAAGTATCCACTAAAGTGTATTTATTTTAGGAATACCTCGATTCCCGATTATATTCGAATATATTTTTAGTAAGACGATTAAAATAGTCTTAGGTTATATTTTACTTCAACATGATAAGGGAGTTTAAACTGAAGTTTTTTCTCCAGAATCTTTCATAAAATTTACTCTGAAAATAAAAAAGTATCCTTTAAGTATTTTTGGAATGATTCCGACTTAACGACAGCAAATACTCATGTTGCCATCTTCTAAGATAAAAAAGTTTCTGTACCGCAAGTGAGACGATTGTGATCTAGATCACCATAACAAAGTGGATTACAGTTATTATGAAAAGGTAAACGGAAACGCCAAAACTTAAAATTATTCACTGGATTAACACCACTTCCACTGATCTGCGCACCTTGCTACATGGACAACGATCTACACATCAGCAGACTGTTTTACTTAATTGGAACAAAATGAATGGTATATCATAGAGCGAATGAAATACTTGTACATCATTTACGTATTCTACAGTCAGTGAAGAGATATTTGATGCTTAGATGGTTTAGAAAGCTTACAATTGCGATGCCAATGTCAAAGATTAAGCTTTTTCGCCGGAAATACTACTGGCATAATAGTCGAGAGGTTTATTTGGTTGCTTGGAATCTTGATATAAGCCGTGTAATTTGTAGTTATATTTAGATTCTGTTTACTTAGTTTACTTCTGCTTTAAGTAAACAAGTATTTTCTGTTTTTATAATCGAAATACCATTGGAACACTTTTTTTAAAATGGAGTGAAAGCATACATTGTTTGACCGTCATGTTGCACAGGGAAGTTAGCCCAAATGGGAACTGCTTGCCAAGACCATTTTGTAACCAATACCTTTGATGGTTGCACACAATGTAGGTTGGGCAATCCATTTTCATTTCGATTGAACCTAAACATATCTTGGAGATAGAAATGTGATAGTAAAAATGAAGTACTTCTGGATACTAAAAACAGATGAAATTACACAAGAGTATACATTTCTCATTAAGCACACAAACTGAAAAACTGGCAGGTATCATTCGAAATAAGAACAGCAGACTTATTGCTTAAAAATCTGTATGTATATATCGCTGATACTGCATAGAGTTTGCAGCTCGATATAACTGAGTAATACTCACTAGTCGTGTGATAAAATGGGATAAACTTTGACAGAATGAAATGCTTGAATGGGTGTCTCTTAAGACGTCTAGTTACTTTATGGGCAGAGAAAATAACAACTTTGGCAAACAATAGACAATTTAAAGCATACTAATATGTAATGCAGAACCAGACTATGTTCAGGTGATCAGATGAAAAGACATGAGCTCCTAAAAATTTTTGGAAATACACTTTGTAGTCTTTTTATCATTTGCTGCTACACTATTCCTATCTCAATTACTCCCATCACGCCGTGCTAATGTAGTATGACTTTAGCCAAGATATATATGTGCCAGGCTCTACGTTGATGGTGTCTGTCTATGGTAGTACCGTATTACATACAAATCAAGATAAAAAACGACTTTAACTAAGCCAGTACAGTTAGCTTTAATTCATTTTAATCTAAAATTAATGCTAATGGTGATGGTATATACTGCATATGACTGTAATGACTTAAAGCTATCACAAATGGAGGCCCCTTACTCTTTAACAGGGATTTTCAATCATTCAGTCATCTAAAACGTAAGATCTGAGACAAGTATATATATACTTGGTATACATATATGTATCCGCCAAAGTCCCTACCCTACGATTAAGTGCACCTATCGAGAATTAACAAAAGTACAGAAAGCAATATAAAAAATAATGTAAAGCTAAATATGGACATGGTCAGAAAAAGCGGAAGAAACGATGAATAACGACTACTCTGCAATCTGACTCAATATTGCACTGGAAAATGAATAACGAGTGTAACTGCTCCATTGCGACCGATTCAAGGCTGTTTTGGTTAGCGTTTGAGTTTATGAATTGTGATCATACTTTGGATTTCAATCTACAATCCTATTCTATTTAAATCGCTCACACTAGTAACCTAAGATTGATGTCAAGACTCAGTTTGGGCGCCACCAATATCCTCCAAAATTAATCCAATGTCAGCCAACAAAACAGACCAGAGATAACAGAGGCCAGGCTTGCACAACATATGCCTGAACAGCCTCAATAGATGAAAGTCTATAGTCACATTAGTCAACTTTTTACCTGAACCGAACGCCTACCCTGAGCACTAGCTCGGGTTATTACTAAACACGACGAATGCTTCTAAAACACACGATCAGACAATTGCAACCTACACAGATCATCTAATTCACACATTGTTCCGGAGCTACATAAAAAATGTCGTGAAATAAGCAGGGAGACAATATGCGTATCACAAGAGTTGTGAATCGGCAAAAGCTGGACGAACTCTATGCATCTGTTACGAGATTTCGTTAACCGTCGAACCAGTACAGTTGATAGAGAGAGTTCATCCTCCCTCTTGAAGTGATCTTGCATGACCACGCGTATACAGCCACTAACAGGGAAGTCCTTCCCACTGTTTTTTTTTGCGGCGAGGGTGTTGTTACGAATTTGAGAGGACGAAAGGTGAATATACGATACCTTAGGGGAGTTGTAAAACCCTGATTCCAAATGAGTGCTGCACATCGGCTTCAGGGTCTTGAGGAAACGAATGGTGTACGAACCTATTGTTGATCAACGGCTAGCATGGGACTGCGTCTCACAATGCTGCTCCACCTTCTTGTGGATTGGAACTTTAGATCAAGGGCTCGGGGTGTGGCCCCTTAAGGGACCCTCTAGTATCCACGTCTGGTCTTGCTGGCTTCGGTTTCGCACTAAGCGCTAGAGCTGAGGCAGCACTAATCGATTGAATTCCCATTAACTGACAGCTACGTGCTGTCCGATTAGAAAGTTCCATCGAAGTAAGACGTCGGTGTGAGAAACGATGTCTTTTCGTCATCTCCGCCTATGCCCCGACAGATTGCAGCCCGGATGCAATCAAGGATGAATTCTACCACCAGTTGTTAACTGTTCTCCAGAAAGTGCGTTCGACAGATACTCTAATACTATCCGGAGATCTGAATGCTGAGTTTGGGTGTCTAGGCGCAGAAGAGAGTCGTTTAGGTGGCCGATGGGGACTTGTTGGTCGCAGGACCGATAACGGGGACCGTCTACTGCAAATGTGCACAGACCACAACCTGTTTCTGGTTAGCACTAACTTCCGGCGCAGTCATCGCCGACATGCCACCTGGCGTCCTCCCTCTGTATCTCAAGCCTGGACTCAGATTGATCACATCGCGATCAGCTACCGCTGGCGTGGTTGTGTACAAGACTGCCTCTCCTTTTGGAGTACCTATCTGGACTCTGATCAGGCCCTGGTCTGCACTATCATTACATTATTTTTCACTGGCCAACAAATTCAGCGTCCCAAAAATGATCGATGTCACTAACTTGGTCGCAGCCTCTCTTGCGACTAAATATCAAACCGAGCTGACACTCAACTTAAAGTATCGCTGGCCAACAGTTATAGGTTTTCTTGACTTCGAGGCTGCCTTCGATTCGTTGGATAGGACTGTTCTCTGGGATTGTCTAGTGAAGAAGGGTGTGTCTTAGAAGATTTTGACATCCTGAAAGCCACATACGCAAACACTTCTGGCAGAGTAAGAGCATACAACCACCTTTCTCCATTGTTCCATTCAGGCAGTGGGCTTAGACAGGGTTGCCCAATCTCACCGTTCCTCTTCAACTTTGCCATCGATGACATTCTAGAAACAGCTCTGATGGCTGTAAGTAATGGTGGTATGGATCTGTTGTCTGGAGAAAGAGTTCTCGACGTTGATTATGCAGATGATACTGTCTTATTGTGCGATGATATCCAAGCCATACAATTCTCGCTTAGTCAGCTTCCTTAGGAACTGCGTGTGCTTTGCACCTTCGAAGTGCAAAGTACTTTTACAAGACTGACAGGACCCTGATTCTGCACTCACCATTTTTAATGGCGAAGTCAGTTTCAAAATAAATAAAGACAGTCGGCACGCCTAATAATAAATATGACGCAACAAATCAAGCTGACTGTTGAGGGCATTGGCTAAATAAGTAGTATTCAACTACAGTATACAGATTTTTCACGTTCCTCAGTACATATCTTAATATCAAACGCTATCACAAATTTTGTTGTTCAACTTCTGTTGAATTAAAAACATGAATATATTTTGACGTCATTAAGTATCCTAAATTTTTAAAAACTGCCAGAGTGAAGAAACCGTAAAAACGTGTCGTTGACGTAGGTGTCAAAACCGAACGATATTTCCAAAAGACCCCTTTAGTTAACTCGTAAAGACACCCTGCTTGCCTTGCTATTAATCTTGTCACCGTTTTCAGTTTTGTGCCTCATGTTGTTCTTCCACTCAGGTTTTGATAGATATTAGGTAACTGTAAAGTACACCAGCCATCGCCCCAATAACCTAGTTCAGAAGATTACAGTCTCGGCTTTTTCGATAACATTCCTGCAGGCAGTCACTTTCGAGTATTCTAAACAGTTGTTTAACCTTATGCATCAACTTACTTGACTTCCATCAGTTTTGTTGTCCATTACAACCCACAATCACTGAGTACTTTCATGGACTTACCGTTCGATACATTTCATTCATCGCCATTTTCAAAGCTTGTTACGAAGAGTTTCTTATCACCAACTATTTGAACAGAGGTAACAAAGTCTTAATGACTTTTCGATTTTGTTTCCTTTCAAACATTGCTTTTTTAAGATTACCCCAAGCTAACCCATGACAAACGTTCGCCATATTTTGCTACCAGTAACTAGTCAGTTCTCCATTAAACGTGTCCTCGACTTTCCTATTTCCAACAGGCGAGATTCTCTTTGTTAAGTTTTCCGTTGACGACTCTTGAATATAAGTTGCATTCAGCAACGTTTGAAGACTGATGGACTTGTGTAAAGGGACTTGATTTTATCCATTTTGATTTTTATGGTTACTTATTATTTTTATTCTGTTTTGCTTATTATTCCTAAACCCAACTAGTAGTTCATCTATCATGTTCACTAAAGACATACAAGCGACCTGTGTGGCAGTTTGCTAACAGTCGAGGTACTCAATGTTGTAGTTGCGAAGTTGGCTTTATGAACCATACACAAAACTTATTGCGGCTGCTTGTGACACGCTAAAAAGGTCCTAGTACAAGTTTCAACCAAACCAAGAGGTTTTTAGCTAATTCTTATACGCCTAACTTAAGTCGTCAAGCCAGCTTCCCCCAAAGATCGACTATCATAGAAATGTTGGTTCAGTTTACGCACAGTACGAACCATATTAGTTCGGTTTCACAGCATATTGGGAACGAAGGTTTTAGTGCATGCAGAGGCAGGAAATTCGTACACGAAACTTGTGATCATACACGAAATTCTCTGCCTCTTAATCACTCAGACATGAGAAAAAGGGTAAAGAGGCACGTTAAGTCAGGACGAGCTATGGATTCTCAAACCTAGTTCGCTTCTGTGTTTTTGTACGCCATTGTCCACAATTATAACCGACCAAATATAAATTAACACGATTGTAATGATTGACTCCGAATTTCATGGATTCACAGTGAAGACAAAGTGGTTATAATTTCTCAACATCAACGAGTAATATTGGTAATAACCACAATAATGACAGTCAAATCTAACTAATTAACATAATGGCTTTTAACGTATATGACCGTTAAAGTTGAATACATATTTGTCTCTAATCTCGTAGTGGGAAATTTTGTAGGTGTTTAGGCGATAAACCCCATAACAATGGATAAATAGGTTACTTCCCAAAATCCGTTGGAAATACTGGAGAAAAACTTCAAAAGCAGCATGGCATAGTTGTGTGGACAGGGATTTATTTCTTATTAAATTGTGTGAAGCCTTTAGTTGATAATTACAACGAATGATATTGTTTCTTCATATGACAGAACAAACAACTACATATTCCATCATCGAAATTTTGGCCGCGTTTCAATATGTTATATGTACACGAGACAAAGAAGCGTTTATTTTACACCACTGTTATAAAAACTTAGGTGTATCAAGTTAAACCATCTGCTCCTAGTTCTGTCGATTGTTTTCCCCAATAAACGTAAGTGCACTGTGTGCGTTTGCTTGGTTATTGACTCCACTTTCCTTCTGTTCTTATCTTTTCCAACACTCATTACTCAATGAACACTGCACGATCCTTTAGTACATAAATTGACATGTCTAAAACGTATTACAATCAGGACAACATTATTCATGTCTTGGTTTTGCACCCTAAGATTTCAGATGTGCTCTCAACATTCCATAAACAAAACACTGACCGTCAGTTTATTTTACAGAGAAAGATAGACTGAAAAAATATTCAGTTATACCAGAAAAATATTTGAGTTGTTATTTATACATGTGTGAAAGGTTTTGCCAAGTGACAATAATGGTGATTTCATGAATTTGGTATAAACACCAGTGTAGCCATGGGACAAATGCTTTGAACTAATTCACCCACTGTACCCAGACTCTAGACGTCGTCGCCGACCAGTCCTGAACAAACATTTTAAATTTTCAGGTCGAGAAACACGTTTAAACATACTCACAGTTTTCCTCAAGGGGATCAAAGAACCGTATTTCGTCCGTCTTAACCAGACGAACCTGTCATATGCGAATTTTTCGTTGATCATTTAATATCTTCACAGATCAGTTGCAAAAATATCAGGTGAATGAAACGTTACGACGTGACCACAATTTATGCTCGGCTTTTGAAATACTCCTAAGTGAGCTTGAGAAACATAAGCCTATGAGAAAAGTTAGTGTAGGATAAAAATGCATAATATAAGATAAAAGAGGTAGAGTAGATACAATTCGTTTACATGATTTCAAAAATTTTTCATAAAAATTAAAATTAGAGATTAGGCATCTTCAGCTTTGTAAATGGCTGTTGGAAATGAGACAGACACAAAAACGTGAGTCGGACTACTGAGCTGTCTGGATCTCGATCCAAAGACATGACATCCGAAGTTATAGCTGATCACTGACATACTAATACAGATATGAGCAGTGGGGTTGAACTTGTAGCACACGTATATACTACCAGGTCACTGTCCATGACAGCGAGCTTATCTAAGATTGAAACTATCAAACGCGATGCAA